CTGGGGTACCTCATGTCTCACGGGGTACCTCATGTCTCACGGGGTACCTCAGGTCTCACGGGGTACCTCAGTCTCCTGGGGTACCTCATGTCTCATGGGGTACCTCAGCCTCGCGGGGTACCTCATGTCTCACGGGGTACCTCATGTCTCGCAGGGTACCTCAGCCTTGCGGGGTACCTCATGTCTCACGGGGTACCTCATGTCTCGCGGGGTACCTCATGTCTCGCAGGGTACCTCAGTCTCGCGGGGTACCTCATGTCTCACGGGGTACCTCAGTCTCCTGGGGTACCTCAGTCTCGCGGGGTACCTCATGTCTCGCAGGGTACCTGGCCTTTATCAGTGTGGAATAAATGTGTGCTGACTGGAAGAATGAACGAACCCTATGTCATCAGAGGTGAAGGCATTGACACCATTGCCAGGAGCTGATTTTCAGCACTCAAGTCCTGCCAGTGACTCTAATTCCTGCCTCTCCCAGGTCCTGAACAAAACCCTAGCCTGCTTAGGATTCCATTGCTCTTATTTGCATCACTTGAATGTCCAGGGGGTCTGTCTTCACCTGACTCTCCCTAGTGTTGAAGGAAGTTTCTCTGGTCCCTGTGAACTCCTTCTTCAAGAATAAAATCAGAAAGCCCATTTGGGTTCTCAGGGAAAGAATGGGAGCAGCTGTTGTGCCTCATGTGGAAATACAGAGGTGACATGGAGGAGCTTTGCTTCCTGAGGCACCTCGGAGCTGTCTAGCAGCACACACAGGCAAAGATTTGACACTCAAGGGGGCTTCTGTCTATTGGAAAGGAAAGACTTAACTGAGTAACGAGAGCACAGCAGCATTCAAGGCAAATACAATTCCAAGCAATGGGAGGGGACCTGTGCTCTGTAGTGGGCCAAGGGGGCTTCGTGGCCTGTAACAGAGGGCCTTTGGGGCAGAGCACTTGGATGTACAAGCCACAGGATATACACTGTGGCTTGGTGAGTGTTCTTGGCTCGAGGAATTTTCTCTGTGGTTACTGGCTTTTCTGTCTCTCTAGATACAGCCAGAGAATGCCCCAGTTGTCCTCTGGCTCCAGGGAGGGCCAGGAGGTTCATCCATGTTTGGACTCTTTGTGGAACATGGACCTTACGTTGTCACAGAAAACATGACTGGTAAGTGTTGCTTGGACTGTATTTCTTATGAAAATCCTTCATCTCTACCTTATATCTGCTCCAAAACTAATCTAGAGTAAACACCAACCCACTGGGAATAGTTTAACAGTTCCAGATTATAATAACACCACTTTCTGGCAATGCCTGTCTGAGGGGGAGGAGCCCCACCCAGGAGAGTGTCCTGACTGGCCTGTTTTCTCCCTTGAAATTTGGGTGAAAGGTTCTAAGCCATTTTCTTAAAGTCTGCTGCTGACTCAAGCATTTTCGGCTTACAAAAACAATTGGTATTTATTACTGTTTGGGAGACCCCCTTTACATAGGCCTAATGGGGGAAGATTATATCCCTAATTATTCACACCAACTGAAAACTTTCTGGTTCAGTTGCACGAATGATCTGATATCTTGGAAGTGAAATGGATGGGGGCTGGACTGCGGGGGAGGAACAGAGAGAAGGCCGTGTCTGGCTAGGCTCCACTTCATCATCTGATTTGTAGGAGATTGTTTGCTTTCCCTGGGTCAGAATTCAGAGTGTGTACCCATTTGTGACTCATTGCAAACGTTCCTGTGCCAGTTTTCTTGAAGTTGTTGCTCTGTTCAGCTCTGGGTGGGCAGGATGGAGTTTAGCAGGATTTGGGTGTTCAGGATGTTTGCAGAACTGGACAGATAGAAGGGACAGCAAGGGTGTTTTGTCTATGCTTCTTCATGAACCAGTTTCATGGGCTTTTGTTTTCAGGCATAATCTTAGATATAGAAACCCTTTTGGGCTGGAAAAGAGGAAAAGTTCAAAGCGCTGGAGCCTGGTCTCCACTGTAACAGCACCTAGGGGGCACCAGCATTCATGAGGGCAGGTGGGCTTGTACTGAGCTCCTGAACACAGTGAGGCCTTACACAGGATGCTTTGTTAATAATTCAGTCTCAACCCCTTTCTTTTAATAGTTCGTTTTAGAGACTTCTCTTGGTCCACCACGCTTTCCATGCTCTACATTGATAATCCGGTGAGTAGGATGTGGCCTTATGATACATTTCTCTGTCCCTGTTTTGCTGTTGGCTTCTCTGTCTTTTCTTTTCCCACTAAATTCAGTTATGTGCCACATAATGGCATTTCTGTCCATAGTAGACAACATGTACCATGGTGGTCCCATAAGATTGTAATAGCCTTGAAACTTATATTATTTGTTTAGTGAAGTTCTGGGGCTGGCCAAATAGCTCAGTGGATCAAAGCACCTGCAAGCAGGAGCAGGGGCCAGGGATTCGATCCCAGGGCCTGCCAAGACAGCAATTGAGACTGGGTGTGGTGGCACGTGCCTGTAATTCCAGCTCTTGGGAGGCTGTAAACAGGCGGATCACTACAAGTCCAATCTAGTAGTGAGACCCTTAACACCCTCTAGACCCTTCCCTAAAATATAAAAAATTAAAAAAAGAAATTCTGGGGGGCCAGGGAGATGGCTCAGTAGAATAAGCACTTCCCTGGCAAGTGCAAGGGCCTGAGTTCAATCCCCAGTTCCCCCTCAAAAAACAAAAAAGCAAAACAAAACTCTAAAAGAACAACAACAAAAAAAGAAATTCTGTATTACTTGTAATTTTTCTGCTTCAATGGTAGTTTTTATTCTTTAGAAAATAAAAAAAATTTAAAAGATTATAATGGAAGCTAAGAAATTTCTGTTTCCTATGATTTATACTATAACTTTCCAATGTTTAGAGACAAATACTTATCCTACACTATAATCATCTATGGAATTTAGTTCAGTAATATGCTTTATATCATGCTGTGTAGTACTCCTTGGAGTAAAGAGCTATAAATATAGATGGATGGATGGATGAATAGATGGATGGATAGATAGATAGATAGGTAGATAGATATCATATAGCGGCTATAAAAACTATATGGCCTACATATATAGTAGACCATACTTTCGTATTCCACAACAAATTCACCTAAGCACACTTTTCACAGGAAATATTCCCACTGTTGAACAATGCATAACTACATTTAAAAATAAAGTTTTTAAAAATAATGACTTTAAAAATACTTTTTAAAAAAGATTTAAAAAAATTTCTCTTTAAAATAGAAATTAGAGGCAAGTATGGCAAACAAACCTATAATTCTACCACTCTGGGAGGCTAAGCAGGAGGATTACAAATTTGAACCCAGCCCGCTAGACAATTTAGCACCTTAGTGAGATACTGTCTCAAAAAAAAAAAAAAAAGAAAAGAAAAAGGAAAAAAAGAAAAGAAAGAAAATGAAAAAAGAATAGACAGCATACTGTGACTTACTTTTTCTCCTAGCACATTTCATCATATGTGAGTTTAAGAATTTTCCTTGTTCCTTTCTTTTCTTCATGTTTTAGTCTTTCAAGTGTTCATTGAACATAGTGAACTCTCTCTCTCTCCCCACCCTCCCTCCCTCCCCCTCTCTATCTCTCCCTCTCTTCCTCCCTCTCTTCCTTTCTCTCTCTCTCTCCCCCCTCCCTCCTTCCCTCCTTCCCTATCTGTAAAATGTTCCCTGACTCATACCAGGGTAAGAACTTACATCCTTTTCACTGATGATGAGGTTCCCAGCATCACAGATTATTGTTTAAAATCTGAATCCCTCATCTATCCCACAGAGCTCTGGATGTAAGAAGTCAAAACTGGTCTCCTTCCTTATCAAGGCAAGCAGAGTCTCATTTTAGGACTAAAAGATGGTATTCTCCTTAGGAGGCTTTCCTGAAATTCCTTTCCCTGAAGTGCTGCCAAGAGTTTGGGGAGTACGTAGAAGAGTAGGACAGCTGCCTCAGAGCTTCTGCATATGAGGAGTATCTTCAGCCTTAACTAAAACCTCTAGCTTCTCTCACTTTGCAGATAGCTTAAAGAGAAACCAAGTAAATAGGGAGAAAAAAATGTGCTTGCCAGGTTAGCCTGTCCTTGCTTTGTCAGCCTTCTGTTTTCCTAATCCATAATTACATATTTAAATGAATGTGAACTAAATGTTGAATTCTCTTTGTGCTTGGGGGAAAACTGTTCACACTTGGTGGGCAGTACATTCTTTATACAAATTACTGACACAAAATCCCTCCTAGCTTCTTTGATGTACTGCTCAGTTGTATGAACTTCTATGTATAAGGCATAATTAACTTAAAATTGGTCTTCATTATTATTTTAAAACTCCTCATCTAATGAAAATGAGATGGCACTATGCACATCTGGCAAACTTGTATATGGTGTAAAACTGATGTAGCCCAGCACGCCTGTAATCTCAGCCCTTGGGAGGCTAAGGCAGGAGGACTGCTGCAAGTTTGAAGTCAGCCTGGGCTACCCAGTGAGTTCAAGGCCAGCCTGAACTACACAGGGAGGCCTCATCTCAAAAAAATATGTAGATAGATAGTAGATAGATCATCTCTGGCAGGAATCTGATAGCTCAGCAATTACCTCAAGGCAAAACTTTGTTCCAGAGTTTCATTTAGGCTTTGAATGTGAGGGCAGTAGGCACAAACCATCATCCTCTTGTGTACAAGGCTAATGGCAAGGGTGATGGCAGTAATTTGAAATCAGCCAGGTGTGGTAGTGCACTCCTGTAATCCCAGTGCCTTGGGACACTGAGGCAAGAGCATCACAAGGGCAGGCCCAACCTGGGTGTGCACCTTACTGGCTTAGCAAGACCTTATCTCAAAAAATAAAAACAGCTTGGAATGTGTGGCTCTGTGCAGAAGCGGAGGTGAATCCCTAGTACCATAACAGCAGTCTGTCAGTCAATCCGAAGTTGGAGGAATGGCCTTGGGAGCAGGTAAGGTCACCTTCCAGAGTGAGTGAAGGCCCAAGCGTGTGGGTCTCTGGGTTTATGCCTGCTTCTTTGTTTCCCCATTAGGTGGGCACAGGCTTCAGTTTTACCGAAGACACCAGAGGCTATGCGGTCAACGAAGATGACGTGGCGAGAGATCTGTACAGGTAAAGCCCCGGCTTCCTTTTGGCCTCTTCAAACGAAATATTCCATCTCAGTAGGAAAATTCTCCCAGTGCTAGAACTAGTACTGGTTTGTTCTTGTGACCCAATTTCTAAAAAAAAAATGTAGGGGGGCTTTCCCCGAGGACCCGCATGCGAGCACACTCACAAACCCATGAGCACACGCCTGACGTGGAGTGCACGGTTCACTGTTACTTTACTGCTGATAAGCATGAAAGCGGACAGCAATCAAAGTAAGAAGAGGCGATACCTTAAGGCATGCTGCAGTTTTCCGAAAATGAATTTTAAGAGACAATAGAGACAGAGCAAACCAAAGATTATTTTTAAACCTTTCAGCCAGATGTGTTAGAAATGTGTTTATTCCCCAAAAGTTTGTCTAATTTTGCACACGTCAGAGGACAGTTTTTCAGATATTTGTTCATCTTCCTTCCCAGAATCTCTTTTTGGAGCCTTCAGATTTTTTTTTTAATTCCCTTGCTGCTCTTACATTTACTTTTCCATGCTGAAAATTGGCTCTGTTGGCTAATTTCTGCCTTTTCCCCTTTTCGTTACAAAATTTTCCCTTTTTTAATGAAAAATATAAAGTTGTAAGCTTGATGAAACAGTGTATAAGCTAGTCATATAATTTTTCCCTTCTTCTTCTTATATCCTTCATAACTATTTTTAGTACATTTTTTAGTACTTAAAAAAGAAATAAATGACCTTTCACATTTGGTCTGATTTTTCCAGTTCTATAATTGCTCCTGGAGACCAAGTCTTGAATTCCTCCGGGTCACCAGGGTACCCACCACTGGCTGCATCCAGAAAGAACTCTCTGGTCAGGAGTTCACCAGCCCCCGCAGCCCACCTCCCTTCTATTCTGCTAATTACTGCCTGAGCAGGCCCAGCCATCCCCAAAGGGAAATGCCTCCGACAGGAGTCAGGGCTTTTGGATCTCTGACAAAAGCTTTACATTTTATAGTTCTTTCTCCTCAAGGCAGACAGATGATTGGGGAGAGGGAAAAGAAAAACTTTGGGGCTTGTTTCTCAAAGGCAACTCTCTTTCCTGCTGCTGAACCAAGAGCGTACAGGGCTGCTGGGTTTTTAATTTTCAGTTTCCACGTTACTTTGTTACTTTCAGTTTTGGAGGGGGAGTTAAGTGTGCACATCTCTGCCCCTAGGTGCCTCAGACCGTCCCAGGAACCCAAGATCCGCATTCACAGAGAATCCTCTTCCCTTCCTCTCTTTCAACTCCAGGGAGCTCTCTGCTCCTTCCACAGCCAGCGCTGTGGTGGCCTCAGAAGTTGTTTCTAGGGCTGGGGAGATAGTTCTGCAGTCTAAGAGCCTGCCTGACAAGTGCAAGGACCTGGGTTCCATCCCCAGTCCACATGCCGGGCCAGCCCCACACAGAGCCAGCCACCAAAACCTGGTATGGTGGCCCATGCCTGTAATCCAAGTGCTGGGGAGGCTGAGACAGGAGGATAGCTATGAGTCCAAGCTACATAGTGAGACCCTGCACCAAATAAATAAATAGTTATAAAAAAATCAAAAAAGAAAGGAAGTTGTCACAAGCCACCTGTCTCATTTAACACTGTGTGTTCTCATTCATCTAATAAGAAACCTACCCTGCCCACCCCTACTCCAGCTCTCTCTGGCTTAAATCCAAACAAGTTCAGTTGTTTAACTAGCAAACGCCCTGAGGGTGGAGGTTCTGCATTAAAGAAATATGTCCTTGCCCTGGAAGGCCAAGCAGGGCCAAGCCACTCCCCAACGTCCCTTGACCCTCCGCGTGGATGTTTGCTGCGGACATGTGGTTCATCTCCTCTTGCATGGCGTGGAAAGCGGACCTATTTCAAAGCATCTATTGTTTATAGCTGTTTTAGTTCTTTTTGCTTCAGGCTCTAAGAGCTGGAAAATAGCTAATCAAGGGTAGTGCAGAAAACTGATTTCAGCTGTTTCCTTTATAGTTTACACTACTCGTTTCCTTTTGCGACTGAGTGTTTCTCTCCGGCCCTCCAGATGGGTGTTTGGAATAAGAAGGTTGCATGGAAATGTGTAAATGGGCTACTGCAGTTTTAAAGGGCAGACCTTTCTTCTTCTCCCTTTGAAAACTGTCTTTATTTCTGGAGGCCCCATTCTTTATTCCTATGAACAGCGTCTGGCTATATGGAGTGGCCTCCTAAAGAGACATTTGCCATTTGCATTTATGTTCTTTTTTCTTTTTTTGTATTTTTAGGGAAGGGTCTACAGGGTGTTCAGGGTCTCACTAGTAGATTGGACTCATAGTGATCCACCTGTTTACAGCCTCCCAAGTGCTGGGATTATAGGCACATACCACCAAGCCTAGTCTCAATTCCCATCTCATTGCACACTGGGAGCGAGGCCGGCATGGCAGGATATTGTTCTTTGAGTTGAGAAATACAACTTTTTCAATTAACAATTTGTTAATTAGTATTCTCTCTCTTTTGTTTTCTCTGCTTGGAGTGTGCTGTTGATAAACAGGAGACAAAACTTACTGAAACACAGGAAGTGTAGCGTCTGAATCTGGGCATCCTCACTAGTGCTACTGTCTTAGTTCCACAAAGTAGAGTCACACTGTAGGGCACACCCCAGCCCTAGACCTGGGGAACCCGCTGTGAGCAGCTGCATGGCTCCTGCTTTCCAGAGGTTCGGGGTCTACTTGCATCTGAAGTCATTTCTCAGAGCCAAATGAGGGTACAATTGTCATTCTGTCCCTGCATTGATTTGTAATGAGAGATACTGTGATTAGATGGATGAGCCTTGATGGCGATGCAATTAGGAAGCAGATTTTCTGTGAGCAGAGGACCCTGCGTGATCCATGCAGGCTGGAGGGCAGCGTAGCCCTGGGCACCGAAGCCAGGCAAAGAAGCCCCTCTAGAATTCTCCAACGCGAGAGACCTGCTGAGATTCTCCTTGCTAAATTTGCTTCAGTTTGTCCTCAGTAGCTTTAACTATACCTGCTTGGCTTTGGTTAGTATCAAGCTCTTGCTTAGATTAGTTGAAGCTTCATTCTCCTGGATATCCTGTCCTGTCCTCGTAACTCCAACAGAACTGAGGAGATTCCAGCACTGCCTTGGGTTCTACAGCGCACGAACATTTCTACCCACTTTCTCAGTCTTACATCTACCAACTTCCAATTTAAAGTAAAAAAAAAAGCTATCTCAGACATAATTGTTTCCTGGTCAGTCTGCTTCCCAGCTCATTTCTCTGTGTGTATCTGCCTGCCAGCAGATAGTCCTTAACTAAAGTTCCGTTTAGAGACCTGTGCTTGGTACAGCACCACGAAGGCTGGCAGGGGTCGCCTGGAAGGTGTGTGCTGTAATTCTTACACTTGGACAAATGCACACAGACATATATGTGTACATTAGCTAGTTGAGCAATTCTGTTTCTGGAATTTCAAATTTAACCTAGGCATGATTCTGGATTCTATTTTTAAATAGGCCCTCACCATGCAATAAGCCTTTGACTGAATTATACTTAAATGAACAAATTAAAATAGCTTAATCTAGTTCAACAGCATATAGAAATCTAGTTTGCTAAATTGGTCTTTTTTATTCTTTGCTTCTGCTCAGAGAGTCTTATAAAGGGCTTGCTTTTTTAAAAAGTCATTACAAAAAAGATTTGGAAATTAAAACATCTTCATGGTTTCTTGCTTTGGAAACTTCAGCTAGGGAATTTTGACATTCCCTAGCAAGAAGTAATTTGGGAGACCGGTTCCTTTTATTTAGATTGCCACAGATAAAATGCAGAATGCCCGGTTAAATTTGAATTTCAGATAAACAATGCATAACTTTTGAGTGTAAATATATTCCTGTCAATATTTGGACATACATGTTGTTCATCTGAGCTTCAGATTTGCTTAGACACCTTGTATTTTAACTTGCTAAATTCGGCAACCATAACAACAAATACTACATGAAAATAAGCATCCAGCTAAAGCATTAGGCTTTATCAAGACTTGCTCTATTAAATTATCTGTTCCAACAAGCAGGAAGATAGAACGGAAGTAGTTTCTAGTTTGAAGGTAGGAGAAGAAAGGGTGAAGAGTGATCTCCTGTTTTTATCTCTGTTCTAAAGCCAGCTTATCACTTCCACTAACAGGAAAGCTATAAAAAAAATGCAGCTCCCCAGATTTAGTTACTCCAAAGGCCACTATAAATAAGAAAACAGAGAAATGCACTGAGACTCTGCAGTAGTGTTTCATGATGATTTTTTTTTTTCATTTTGAATTTTTATGGAGCCTTTGAAAATTAAGCATAAGCAGAATCACGATGCTTTAATAACCCTACTTTTGCCTCCCTGTAACCCTTGAACTTTATCCCTCTCCTGGCTCACAGAGCCTTTTTGCCTTTCATCTTCTCTGGATGGTTCATGACAGTCCCTCAGCAGGAAGCTGGGATGGAAAACCACCACCCCCCCAGCTTCTCAGGCCTTATAATTTGGATCAAAACATTCATAGGACATCTTAGTTTTGTGCAATTTTGCCTCCTTTTTGAATGATTTTGATTAAGTAGAAAATTATCTAAAAATCCATCCTTTCTTTTGCTCATCAAACGATTCCTTAAGTCTATTTAAATCTGTTGCAGAGAACTCACTTTAGCAAATGTGGTTTTCTCTTTCTGAGCTCAGAGACCTCTTCAGTCCCTGTGGTTGTTGCTAGTTTCCCTGTAGATTATTTGGTTATTAAAACACTGACACCGTGGGAGTCCCGTTAGAAATAACCTATTTATGGTCCCTTGCTGTGAGAGTTGGCCAGTAACTAAGTTCTTATTGCTTCTCTGCAAACCTGGGTTAATGAGGTCCTAATGTTTGCATAAAGGATTGTTAAATAATCAGAGAGGATTGCAAGTTGGAGTCCAGTGTGGCAACACAGCAGTAGTTCAGTGCGAAGGCCCTAGGTTGACTCTCCAGTCATGGAAAACAAGTGCTAACTAGGTGAAAGCAGACTTTGGGAAATCTGTCCAGAGTGTTGCTGTCCACTTAGTATCACAAAGTAAGCCCACAGGCATTTTCTAATCATCCACATAGAGCATAGTAGTATGATGCGTGTGAGAGGCTTAAAAAATGACCTCTAAGTGCCCACAACCAAATGGTAATTTATTTCATATAAGAGCACTTATTATCAAAAGGTTGGGTTTGGTAGCATAACCTGAAATGATTTGAATTCATTTTTCAAATTTGTTCATTTTGTTCTTTCTGCAGTGCACTAATTCAGTTTTTCCAGTTGTTTCCTGAGTATGGAAAGAATGATTTTTATGCTACCGGGGAGGTGAGTTGAAGGCATATTTCCTTGTGTGCTTCAAGTGTCCTCACAACTGAAACATATTATGACATTTGTTACTTGTTTAATATATATATATAATGCATGCATAAATAGTACATATTAATATCGATATTCAGATTCTCTAAATGTCTGAAAAATACTTCTATAATTATTTTGCATCAAGGGCTCAATAAAACTTTGATAGGCGTGGTGGGTTGTCATGGCTCAGTCTTCTGCTTTCTGTGCTGTGGATTGAGGCACAAAGTCATCATGGTGACGGTTTCGGAGGGTCCAGGCCAGGTGCCTTGTGGAATGGCCACCATTCCACACTTCTCTGATTGGTTCTTCAGTGCTTAGATTCACTGAAAACATTAGGAGCCACACTGTGGTGGTCACCCATTCAGGTAATGCTAAAGTGGGTCACTTGGTCAAGGGGGTACCTATCCTAGCTCACCATTGTAAGTAGGTGTTTCTACTTACAAGCAATAAATAATCCAAAGTCATGTGAACATCTGTTCCCCCAAACCTGTCCCTCAGTAATTTCAGTACTATTGATATTGATACTAGAGTATCTACTAATGACTTCTATCATAATCTTATTGTACTGGGCATTACAATATATTGATTTCTTGAATCTCTGTTTCTGTAGGCATCATATGATATTCTTCTGTAGAAAAGACTTCTCCTTCCACTCCCTGTCTGTTATTTACTTTAAAAATATCACTGATTCAACCATTGTTATTTTTACTTAATCCATCAAATTTTATTGTAATCATTATTGTTTTTATGCTTAACTAGTTCTAATTTTGTGTCTGGGTATCCTCTTTAAGCTGGTTCCTGTGCCCTTTGAACAGTCTTTGAGTGTTTACTTGTATTTTGTCACAAATACATATTCTAGAAGCATCTTTTACTTTTTCTAATTTAACACTTTGTCATAGTTGGTCTTAAACGTCTTCCAGACATCCTTGAAGTAAGGGCTTTGTTTCTGCCCCCGCAGCTGATGGGAGGTGATGGAACCTGCAGGACATGGGGGCTAGCAGTTCTAATTAGTTATTGAAAGCACATCTTCAAAGGCATATTGGGACCCAAACCCTCCTCTCCTCCTCACTGGCTACCCTGCTTCTTCCTCTGTGCAGGGCTGTCTTAAGGTACAGTGCCGTCATGTGCCCTAAGCAACAGGGCCAAGTAAATATGGACCAAAATTTCTGAAACCATGATGCAAAACAAACCTTTCCTCCTTATAAGTTGGTTTATGTCAGGTATTTTGTCATAGTGACCAACAGCTGACTAACATACCTTGACCTGTCATTTATTCTAGGACCCTCCATTCTTTTTCATTGGAATGTTACTTAGAAACCAAGTCCTGAGCACTAAGTGTGCCATTGCTACTCAGATGTCATTTCTGAGCAGACTTTATCTGTGAGCAGAGCTGGGAACCAAATGGCTTGTTTACTTTTTAAAAAATTATTTTAATTCATTTTAATGAGAAAAAAGAAAATAGCAATGCAACAGTTTCCAAACAGGTTAGTAGGATGGTTACAATAATTAATACATTGCATATTATTGCCTTCATAGTAGTTATTCAGAGGACAAGATGCAGACATGATGTCTTGTCTAAACAGTATTAGTACCAACTTTTATTTTCAATGAACTAAGAGAAAGTAGCTGTATATCTATCCTAACTCCTATAATATATATATATATATATATATATATATATATATATATATATACATTTTTTTCACAACAAAACTGTCCTTTATTTACACTTTTGTGAAGTTCGTAACACATGAGACTAGGTTGCCTAGCAACTGATAGCTATCTGTTACCTTTTTCTTATTGCTGAGACAAAATATCTCATAACTAGAGCTAAGGGAGGAAAAGTTTATTTAGCTCACAGTTGGTAGGGGTTTCCATTTGTAGTAGGCTGGCTCCAAGGTAGGACAGTATGGCAGAGGGGCATTGTAGAGGAGAAACAGGGGGGCCGGGGAGACGGCTCAGTAGAATAAGCACTTGCCTGGCAAACACAAGGGCCTGAGTTCAATCCCCGGTTCCACCAAAAAAAAAAAAAAAAAAAAGAAGAGAAACAGTTCATGGCGGGCAGAAGACAGCAAAGCAGCAAAATAGTGAAGCAGCAGCAAGCAGCAGGCAGGAACACTGGCAGCCCTCTTTCTGTCCTTCATCTCTACCCCCCAGGCTACATGCTCTCAGGGTAGGTAGCACTCATGCCCTGGGTGGGGCACCCTTAACCTTAGCATTACACTATGTATGAATCTGAGTGTCACATTCTCTACATTCAGCTGTCTCTGAAAAATCCCCACCCATAACTTCAGAGGGTTTACAGGGACACCTAGACACGAGACAAAACACAGAATAACTTCCCACTCCTTCCCACTCATGTCCACGCTGCTTCTCCATATACCCCTGTCTCCCTCACTGAGGCCCATGGCATCATCCACTATTCATTTTTTATTGAATCCTATAACACGCCCCTAATGGCTTCAGAATTACTAGAGTGGAATCAGCAGTCCACAAGACACCTCTACATTTCTTTTCCAAGGACTTTGTCTCTCATTCTTCTCTGATCCTTTCACTTGGCTTTGCACTTCTCTGGTTTCATTCTCAGATAATTTCTTTTTCGCTGGTATCCCTGTCCTCTCTCCCCATCCCAGTGCAGATGGGCCTGACTCCCTCACATTCTCTATCCCAGCAATTCCATCCATATGCTGCATCTCATAGGAAGCATTTAGATCCCAGGAATAAAAGAAGAAAATAGTTTCCATTTTCTGAGGGAAAGGCAAGTTCATGGACCTTTCTCTTCTTGAGTCTGCTTTCTTCTCTTTCTAAGCTCTGCAGAAAGGATATTTTGGCTGCTGAGAATACGGCACTGGAGGTTTTCATAGCCACTTGTCCAGCTGAGATTACTTACAAATGTTACAATGAATTTCTTGCTATTCCCTGCTTTTGACCAATTTCAGAAGCAGGTTGGGGAAAGGGGCGGGGAGTGACTGGTCACTTGGCAGCAACTCTGGAAGGGGCCTGTTCTCCCCTCACACAGACCAATGGTCTGTAGATCTGTGTAATTCCTTGGCTTGTGATCAGTGTGGTGAAGCTGTTAACCATGATGTTGGATAGTTAGCAAAACTGTCAAATTCTGGGTGAAATTTTTGATTTATCTATTTTATTTCTGCCTGGTGGTTTTCTGCATGTAATTTCCAAATGTGTGTAGGAAAGGATGGTTTTACTTTCATATCCTTCACTGCCAGGAAGAATATTCTTAAGGAGATCTGTGCTTCCCTGTAATGGATGAAGATGTGAATGAGGACAGACAGTTAGCAGGTAGCACCATCTTCATAAGAACCATATAGATGCATTTAGTCTTTCTAGAAAGAAGAACATTGAATAATGATACCTCAGTAGTTTATCATTATTAGCATGCTGTGCTTCTACAGTATGCTCCTTGGTTCTGTCTGTTTTGTCTCTGGTCTTAAGCTCATGAAGCAGAATGAAGAAGGAGAAAGACCTGTGGATTAGTAATTAGAAGGTCTGGAGGGCCAGTGACATAGCTCAGTGGACTAAGTGCTTGCTTAGGAAAGTGCAGGGGCCAGGGTTCAATCCCTGGCACCACATGTCATTCTGGCCCCGCACCCTGGGCATGCTGAGCTGGGCATAATGGAGTCCAGGTGTGGTGGTGCATGCCTGTAATCCCAGTACTAGGGAGGCTGAAAACAGGAGGATTGCTATGAATCTGAGCTGCATAGTGAGACCCTGTGTGCATGCGCACATGCATATGCGTGTGCGCGCACGCACACGCACACACACACACACAAAGTAATTAGAAGGTCTGAAAAAAAAAGATCTGAGATCTCACAGGCTGATTCTGGGAATTTTATAAAATTCCTCTGGGGCACTGCTTTTCATCTTGCAATCAGATGGGTTGGGAGTCTTTTGTTTCATTAGAAGTTTAACAGCAGTTACCTTGACTTACTTTTACAATGTGTATATATAATTATAGTTTTAAGGGCCAGCCTTAAAACTATAGCTCAGCAGATTAAAGTGCCTGTAAACAGGCACAGGGGCTGGGGGTTCGATCTCCAGGCCAGCCCCCAGGGTGAGATGAGATGGCTATTAAGATGGGGCATGGTGGCATGCACCTATAATCCCAGCTCTTGGGAGGCTATAAATAGGTGAATCACTACAATCCAATCTCGTAGTGAGACCTTGAACACCCTGTAGACCTTTCCCTAAAATAAAAAAAAGTTAAAACTTTAAAATTATAGTTTTAAGACAGTGTCAATCCACCCTCCTGCATTCCACCTGCTTCCCTACAAATGATTAGATTTTTCATGAAAGAAAAGACCTTTCTTTTCTGAGCTCTTAATTTGCTTGTACCCTTAAAGAGGCTGAACAAATAGTGTCACTCAATGTATAGCCTCATCCTGGCAACATCAATGCATAAATTCTGTAGAAATGTTCCAATGCCGGTGCAGCAGGCCTAGTATGCCCTTCCTGTCTGTGTTCTGTGAGTAGAGGCAGCTTGGTGTTCAGAGTGCCTGGAGCAGCTGCTCTGAGGCCTAATACCGGCAAAAGAAAGTCTGGAAATAATAATCTGGCCTACTTCATACTATTTAATTAGATAATACTCCCACAGAATTAGCATAGTGACTGGCAGAGGACAGCACCTAACACATCTGATGTTTGTATTTAAAAGCTGGATTAATCTGCTCTGGCTCCAAAGCATATGGCCTGGTGCATGTAGGGAGGAGCTGAGGTGTTAAGAGCCCTGCTCTCTCACTGTGGGGATGTTATGTGGCCTCTTCTGCTCTGTGTCTATTATTTTGAGTCCTTCCTTCCCTCCTTCCATCCCTTTCGCCCTACTCCCTTCCTTCCCTATTTCTCTCTCTTTTTCTTATGAGGTGCTGGGGATGGAGCCCAAGGCCTTTTTCCTATGGCCTTGTATGTGCCTACCAGACATGACTGGTGAGCTACATCCCCAAAGAAAAAGA